AATAAACGAAACTTATGCGAGCGACGCTCAGGGTTTATTTGGAGAACTAGGTCGTGGATAAGTGAATTGCAAATGCGGTTGGATTGGGACAACTACAAAAAATGAAACAAAGGAGTACTTACATGATCTCCTGGATAAATGCAAAAAAAAAACACAAGAAGGACCTCTAGCTATTTAAAATAAGGACGATGATTCCAGGAAACTGAATAATCTATAATCTAATAAAATACTATATAAATAGTTAAACTTACTATGTCCTATCCGTTAACAAACTCTAGTAGTTGGAGATACTACAAAACTTACAGTTGTTACTGGGCTATAGTTTGTAGCAGAAATAAATTATTACAAATAAAAAATATCTTTTAAATGAAAATATTCATAGAGGTTAACTTTTTTCTAAAAACAAAACAAACTAATGTCAAAAAATAAATCTAGCTGTCAGATATCAATATTAAATTATAAAACTGAGAATAAATTATATGACAGCTATGGCCACACTCTAAAATCTACAATTTTAATTATTACAACATCTCTTTCAAATTATAAAAGCAATTATTATTAAAAATGTTTATTTTTTCTTTAAAATTTAAACACAAAAGTTACCTGAATTGCACTAAAACTTCTGGGAGTGAAAACTAGACTAACACTGTCTACCACATAAATTAATTCATCTCCATACTGTAAAAATATATTCTAAAACGGTTTCTTAGGACTGATTTGAGGTAAAAATTGGCGGCACTGGATACAAACTTTAGACTGGGCTTAGAACGGAAACTATGCGGGTACTTTTCAGAGCAGCTGCAAATGCCATTCTACAAAATTTTAGATGGGAGACAGCTTACAAACAAAAAAAACAGTGATTACTGTTATCCGAAGTGACATATTACTTTGATTATAAATAACTGTTCTTTTGACAAATTTGCCGGCTTTTCTCCGACTAACCAAACACGTCTGCTCACAATGACCCTCCTTTGAAACCTCCTTGAATTTCACATTTAACTGCTACATCTTCACTATTATATAATTTAAGACGAAAAACAAAAAGAAACATTACAAATTTGACGAAAAATTTGGACTAACCTGAAGTTAACAGCTCTTGACAACTGTCTCAGCGAGTGTCGCAATTATCTTTCCAGCAAAAACTTATTCTTCTTCTAGTTCCATGACCGTTATCGATCGTTGAATATCATGTTGGCTACCATATTCGCTATCGTGACTTTATTGACAGCAGCTCTAAATAAAAACTTATCAGCAATATAAATAAATGTTTATTTAAAAAGCAATATCGAGCGGCTTAACGATCAAAGAATGGCGAGGAAATTCACAATCAATATATAAACAAACTGTAAAATGGTTTATTATCGATCTCAGCGACGCAAATCGAATTGAAAATACTTTTTGAGTGTTTTTAACGTATACGAGGGGATTTTAATATATACCAAGGGATGTAGAAATGCTACACACTTATAATACTAACAGCGAATGAAGTCGAAATGACTCACTCAGAGGCTAAGCCGGATAAGCAAAGAATTCGGACTTTAGATCAACACTTAAAAGACAAAAATAATGATCGTAAATAGAACAAATTTCGCAAAAAAGTGGCGAATTTCGAATTTTGCGAAGTGGTAGACAGATTTGTATACTTATGCACACTAGTAACCAAAAATCGCGATTGCTCCTCAGAAATCAAACGTAGAGTAGCAATGACCCTAACCGCAACAACAAAACTGATATCAATATGAACATACCGAACAATGACCAGGAATACTAAGCTCAGCTTAGTCAATGTTCTTATTTTTTCCATTGCTACATACGCAGCTAACAGATGGACTCTTAAAAAATCGATAGGAATAAAATCAAAGCTTTCGAAATACAAGAGCTTGATATAAAAGACAGGCTAATGAAAAAATACAAACCAAGCTTACCTAATCTGCTTCGGTAGTAGAAGGACAGGTAGAAGGCCACCCTGACAAGGGTTCAAGAAATAAGAGGAACAAGGATATCTCTTGCGTACAATAAAAGAATAACGTTTTTTAATTTAATCCTATCAAATAAATGCCTTCTTAAGGACCACAAAAAAAAGATATTCCGGTTTGTTGTATTCTACCGATTTCTCAATCAACAACAAGGAGATTAGAACATGCATCGGAAAAGCTAAATCCACCTTCAATTGGACGGAGGCTCTCTTCAAGAGTCACAACTTCTCTCTTGATACAAAAGTAAAAATGCTGCGATGGTACGTCTTCTCGATCCAGTTTTATGGTGTTGAATCTTGGACCTGAAACGAATATTTGTACAGAAAACTGAAAACATTTGAGATGCGGCTATATCGGAAAATACTTAAGATTGCCATGATGATCGCCAACATTCGTAACGGTAGGCACATCACGAAGAAAAAGAAGAAGGTTATGACGGTACCCAAATCTGTTGAGTTGATTCATCTTACGTCGAATATTTTTGATGGATGTATATCTTTATTGGTTATAAAATAGTTAATCACAAATCTCTGTCCATCGGTGTTTTGAATATATATTTGCCTTGGTCTTTGTGGTCAAAAAAAACGTCATATTTGCGAAATATTCGGGACTGGACAAAAATGGATGTAAAAGAATTATTCCACGCTGCTAAGAAAAGAGAAACTTTTATAAATGTGGTCGCCTACCTCCGTTGATATTTTTTCTGCAAAAGCATAGGGCAGAAATAAGTGGTAAAACCTTTAGAAGGCCTATGGTCGATAGTTGACGCCATTAGAGGCTGTGTGATTATTATGATTATGATTATAAATATTTTTTGTGAATACTGTAGCATTTACAAATCGTTTGATATATAAATTCTTTGAAATATATTGAAATACCTTATATGTATATGTTATAAATTGAAATCCCCTTATATATGCATTATAATAACGAAGAATTTTTTCCACGTTTCTTAGTTCGTATCTTTCAAGTTAAAATACCCGAAATATATTTCAATTTCTTCTTAGGCGGCTCGAGTTAATATAAACCATCTTAGAGTTGTTTATTTATTTCGCAGCTGCGTATTTTCCTGTCGATATTCTTTGATTTAAGCCGCCCGATATACTGCGTTTTCAAGTTAATAATCTACGTCTGAATTTCCGTTGTGTTCTGTTTATTATAACTTATGTGAATTAATTTTAAAGATAATTTCATCACTCTCGTTGGAGCCGCGATCAAGAGCGGTCAGTGTTATGTCCAAATTCGCGTTGAATTTGAAAAGTTTTCTGTTTTTGCCACTTTTTATGGAATATTAGTAGTTTTGCAGTTAATTGTGCACTACGTGTTACGTTACATGCAGTTGTTCCAGTTTTGTTATAATGTACGGTTGATTTGTTTATGCTGATCAAGGTACCAGATCATTGAAGCAGTTTTTTTGTTCGTGTTCGGAGATTTCCCATCCAGTCCTACCCACATAAATTTAAATGGATCCAGTTCCCGACCCCAGGCATTATGCAGAGTGAAAAATTTAGTGAAATAAGGTAACTGTTTTTGTGTTTAAATTTAAAGTAAAGACAGACATTTTTTTAATTAATATTTTGCTTTTGCTTATAATTTGAGAATTTTTGATAATTAATATTGTAAATTTTGGAAGTTTGACTTTACCTGCATTTAAATTTTTTCTGTTTTAAATTTATTGTTAACGTATGACAGCTAGTTTTATTATTTTTGATTTTTATTTGTTTTGTTTGTTTTAAAAAAAGGTTAACCTCTGTGCAGTAACAACAATTTTGAAAGATTTTGTAGCAATTCCCCATTGTAAACAGATAGGACACATGTAAGTTTTTCTCTGTATTTTTGTAATTTGTGACTATTAATATAGCGTTTTATATTGTCTATTTTGTGTAACTGTTTGTGGTAGAGATACAATAAATGTTAAATTTTGTTTTCTTAACATTTTGTTTATTTTTTTAACTAACCCTTTTTGAGTTTCGTTTGAAAAAGATATGTTCTTCATTTTTATTAATTATTTCTCTAGTTACAACTAGCTGTTGTAATGGTTATAATTAGGCACCTCGAAGTGGTCTCCTATTTAAATTACTAGAGGTGTTTCCTGTTTCATTTTTGTGTTTTATTTTGTTTGTCCAAGAGATTCATGACCCTTTTGTTTCATTTTTTTTGTAGTTGCCCAATCCGACCCCTTGCCATTTACTTATCCACGACCCCAGCTCTCCTAATAAGCCCTGAGTGCCGTTCGCATATGTTTTGATTATTTTGCTTGCCCTATCTCCATCGCCAGTAGTTTCTGTCCCCAATTTTCTACCCCCAAGATCTTACCCTGAGGTGGGCAAAATATTATCGTTACAATACGACATTTAAATTGCAAAATCTTATATATTATTAGTTCAAAATCTAAAATGTAATAAAAAGAAAACTATTTTTATCCAGTATTTAGAACGTTTTGCTAATTCTTACTAAACCGTAGATAAATATCTACGACTAGCTGGTCTTTGACAACAACCTCGAGTATTTGCACAACGAGAATGTGAAGTTAATTCCGAGTGCTTTTCAAAGTGATACAAGGAACTGGAAATAGGGAAATAAGACCATGGAAGTTTAAAGCAAACACAGACTTATGTGCCATTTTACGCGTTTCATGTGAAGATTCGTAGATCGTCAGTTTCGAAATGCATAATTTGTTGGTATAAACTGTTGAAAGATGGAAGGAAGGAAATGCGCGATTTTGGGTCACATTTGATTTGAGATGCAGTTGATTTTAGTGCAATTTGTATACCGAATGTCTTATTATTAATTCATCTTTTAATTTAACTTAAAGCTCTAAAGCGATGTCCGCAGCATAATAATAAAGCAGAAAAATATTCAGATTGGCACATAGTAAACTTTGCGCTTTAGGAAAAGGTACTTAACCCACATTTTAGGATTGTTTCAAAACTACTTTCTTGTGGAATTATAGGTTTAGTCAAGTATCTCGTTAAAGCTAAAACACAAATTATAATATGAATTTTTTATTCAACTTTCTTTCAGATTTTAAGCAGTATCAAAAATAGAGTTTTATTTAAAGAAGCTAGCAAAGAGAAAGATGAATAGTAAGTACTCTTATTAAAAAAGAAGAAAAAATGGTTTTATTGCATAGAAAGTATTTGAAACAAATAGCAGAATTTCGAAGAGACAGAAAAATATATAATACAAATGAAACATGGTTAAATGAAGGACATACTGTGACAAAACTTTGTCAGGATTTGTCAAAATGTGTCTGGTAATTCTATTGTTCTATCAGTTTGACAAACGTCATTGAGGCGTAATCAATTTTGGACAGATATAATGAATCCAGACGAATGATCAAGATTTAGATACCAGTCAGGAGAAAAAATCAAAAAATTTGTTTCGGTAAATGTCCCATTGAACATGCAGAGATCCAGAAGCTCTATTTGGACCCAATTTTCGGTGTTCTTACAAGTGAGAAATTTTACGCTTGAAAGACATACTACCATAATGAAACTAGCAACAATTCTCAAGGATTATACCTTTAACATAAAAAAAGGCAATGGCGAAGACTACTCTCTGGTTATTTTCAGAATGTTTTGTTTATCTGTTGTTGCCTTTCTGTCTTTATCTCTCAGCTTGTTCTTTCTCAGCAAACTTAATTCTTTTTTACTTTGAGTGAGTTTTCTTTTCACTGTCTTTAAACCTTTGTTCTCTTCTGCTGTTTGAGTAATTACATTAGTATTATATCTTTTTACATCTTTTCTAATTACCGCTGAAATTCTTTTATTTACTTGTTTATATTCTTCTTTTTTCCCTTTTCGTTCTCGCTTAGGTTTCGTCGTATTTCCATGAGAGCTTTTGTATTTTTGCTAATCTTCTTACTTTTGTGTGTCATTTTGCTTGCAAAATTTGTGTTGTGCGTTTCTAACCGAGTCTGTTATTAATTTATTGTGATCGTCGATACTTAGAGGTTTGGGATTATTACTCTCTAGAGTTTTGGTTATATTTTTTATGTATGCTTCTGGATGATTTGGTTAATTCCAAACTGTGCGTTTGCAACTGTTTATCATCTTTCTCTTACTTATATCTCTTTCTTTTTGTAGCTTTATCGTTACTCTAGCTCTTACTAGTCTGTGGTCGCTTCCTACTGATAGTTTATTGAATACAGTGACATCTTGAAGAATTTGCTTTTTGTCTGTTATTATATAAATTGAAAAAGACTGTAAGACTTGTACACACTTCTAAATAGGTCTAACTGGTAAGCAGGTTTTGTATGTTTTCAATAAAATTGATAGTGTGTAAAATAATTTATTAATTAAGCTGAGTATACTTTCGACATAATAAATGTCATCATCAGAGCTATCCTAAAATAACGTTAAGTTAAGTAAATTTTTTATAAAATACAATGACAGAAAAAACTTACGTCAATTAGGCAATAAATACTTCATAGAAGGAAAATTGTGGACAAACAACATATTAAAAAACAAAGATCGGGCTCTCTAGGCCACAGATCTTGGGTCTAACCCTTATACATATGTATAATTCACATCAAATACTTAAAATAGAAAACATGGTTACCACATACAGCGACGACAACAGCTGTTTTTGACTTACATTTTTGAAGTAAGATGAAGGAGGAAGCTCGGATATACGGAAATAAATCCGAGAGCGACCTCTGTATTTAAAATTATTAATTGAAAATTGAAAATGTCTAAACTGACGTCTGAAGGTTATTGATTATTACTTTTAGTTACTATAGAATTTTAAATTTAAATATTTTAAATTGATAAGTCAACGTGAAAATTTAAAATATACATTTATCAAAATTATCAAAAAACAAAACTTTTAAAGTTTGACCAAGTAGAAGAAAGTAGATGAAAACGAACCAAGGAGAAGTATCATTTGCTAAGTTAAGAGTTCAATAGCTATTATTGATTATCAATATTATTAATAAAATAAATAAAGAAGAAGAAAAATATCAAACATTTTCTACTTAGATGAAATCAATGAAAGAAAATTCAAGAAATTTTCTTTTTAAAAATTTCTTTTAAAAATAAAGGTCAAAGCTTGATCAATCGATGGTTAATTGTATACTAAATGTATTATTAAAGAAACTTCTTAAAGATTGGATCAAACTTACAATTTAAGTTAATTTGAGTGTTGACACAGTTCTGAGGATTCCTTTTCATTTCTCTACTGATTTCAAGATCTTCTAGTAAATTCATTTTTATATAATTATTATTGGGTATACTGTGTAGGATCTTGCTATCTCTATGAGGACTAAAGCCATGCTTTGAAGCATGTATATGATTCCCAAAACTAGATTTATCAATCTTAGACAGATGTTCTTTAATGCGTATATCCAAAGGTCGCATTGTTCTACCCACATAGGTCACCGGGCATTCACCACAGGATAATTTATAAATACCACTTTTTGACGATTTGTTGATTTTGTCTTTAGTGTGAGAAAAAATAGATTTGATATTTTCTTTAACTTTGAAAGAAAGTTTTAGATTAGGAATGTTATTTAAGATTCTGGCTATATTATCCGAGGGATAACCTATGTACGATATTGATCGATAAATAACTGTCGAGTTAGAAATGTTATGGACAGTGTTGTATGCTAGTGATCTATTCCTTTTATTCCTTAATTTGTTGAGTATGTTATCAACCAAAGTAGGGGTATAACCGTTACTATAAGCAAGTTGTTTAATAATTTCTAATTCTGATTTAAAATTTGAATCTGACAGAGGTAAGCTAAGTAAACGATGGATATAGCAATAAAAGAAGGCCATTTTCTGTTGAAAAGGATGATTAGAAGATCTAGGGATGGTATGGTCAGTCTGAGTTGGTTTTCTAAAGACTGAAAAATTTAATTTGTTATCTATTCTAGTTAATGTTAAGTCTAGAAAATTAATAAAATTGCTGGATTCTGTTTCTAAGGTGAATTTTATAGCTGGATGTAAGTTGTTAAGTGAAACTAGGATATTGTCTGCATCTGAGGAATTTCCATCTATGATAGCTAACACATCATCCACATATCTGAACCAATATAAAACTTTTTGAAAAGAGTTTTGATTCAGAGAAAGATTGTCAAAGATATTAATCTCAAGGTTATTCAGAAATAGATCTGCTAGCAAAGGTGATAAGGGATTGCCCATTGCCAAGCCTTGTGCCTGTCTATAAATAATATTGTTAAAAGAAAAGAAATCTTGTGAAAGACAAAATTTAAGTAAACCCAATATGTGAAAAATTGTATCTCTATTAATGTTATTTTTAATAAGTAATTTCTCAACTATGGAAATGGTTTCATCTCTAGGTACATTTGTAAACAAATTATTTACATCAAAGGAAACTAGAAAGAAGACTCTAGGTAAATTTAAAACTGACAATTTATTTAAAGTCTGTACAGTTATTTATAAGTCTGTAGAGTGTTTGACAGAAAAAGTGGGTTGAACAGATATTGAGAATTGTAGTATAGAATTATTGAATTTGGACAATGTAACAACTGGTGTGTTATAAAAACTAACCACTGGTCTCATAGGGGTGTTAGGTTTATGAATTTTTGGTAAACCATATAGTCTTGGTATTTGCGGATTTGACAAAATGAAGGTTTTCTCTATCCTGTTATGTGATTGTAGGAAATCTTTATGTTTAGATAAGATAGCTTTAAGATTAGTAGCTAGTTTATTTAGAGGATTTCTATCTAGAATGTCAAAGTTATTATTTCTTAGAAATTTTTCTGTTTTTTGAACATAATCATGATGGTACATAATAATGAGGCAGTTACCTTTATCAGCTTTAGTAATAATTGTTACTATTCAATTTTGTAGATATTTATCTAATCAAATGTAGTTGTTTAAAGCATTTAATTTTTATGTTATTAACATTATTATTAAATTTGATAAGATCTTTTTGTAAAGAAAGGAAACAATAGCTTTTTAAGTTGGTTTTCGAAATGTAGGTAAGCTAAAAGCTAAAGGTAAGCTTTCTATTACAGAATCTATGTCAACTGAAAATTCTTCAACTGTTTTGTTGTTAAATGGTATTAAGGTAGAGAATTTTAGTCCGTTAAACAAAAAATCAAATTCTTTATTAGTGAATGAGCAATTTGTTAGATTAACTATGCGTTTGTGAAATCTAAATTTAACGGAACTATTCAATCTATTAGTGTTTTGACTATTATTGTTGTGATTATTTTTCTTATTTAGTTAACTGTGTAACTTATTATTTAATCTATTGAATTTGGAATGTTTAATGTATTCTTTATCAAATGAAACCTCTCTTACAATGTTATCATAATATAGTATTTTAAGCTGAACATTAATCTTATCCAAATGAGCATGATGCCTACATAGTTCATTTTGAAGGAATTTTCTTTCTATTTGAGACTTAAAGTTAAAAGTAGCAGTGAAAAATACCTTACATTTTGCAAAAGTTGGTGTTACTTTGAATTTGATGCATTTGTGAATGAACCAGATGTCGATGTTCAGCAATTCTCTCTTCTTTGACAGTCTAAGATATTTATTAACGTCAACTACCATACTGTAGATATTGAATTGAAAAAGACTGTAAGACTTGTACACACTTTTAAATAGGTCTAACTGGTAAGCAGGTTTTGTATGTTTTTAATAAAATTGATAGTGTGTAAAATAATTTAGTAATTAAGCTGAGTATACTTTCGACATAATAAATGTCATCATCAGAGCTATCCTAAAATAATGTTAAGTTAAGTAAATTTTTTATAAAATACATACATATAATACATACATACATATAATAATAAATACATATTATATAACCATATTCACTCTTACTTCTTCCGTCTGGAGTAGCCCCCGTCCATTTTCTATTCTGTTTCTTCTTAAAAAAGTGTTCATTGCATACAGTTTGTGTTGCAGTAGAAAGTTGGTAAGCATTTCGCCTCTTTTGTTTCTTACTCCGATTCCAAAATCTCCGATTGCCACTTCTTGTTCGTCCTTTTTCCTTCCGAGTTTCCCGTTAAAATCTCCCATTATCAGATTGTAATGAGCTGGTTCCTGGTCTTTATTTTGGCCGATTTTATACCTACGCAAAGTCTTAAATATTATGAAGAACACCAG